TTAATCCCACAAACCACCTACCAGCAGGCATCGCTAGAAATCAGTCACTGCTCTGGGTGGGTAGGAGAGGTAGTGGAGGAGACAGGGAGACATAAAGTTTGGAAGGGGCTTGAAGGCAGACTAGGGAGATGTGAGGTCGCAGGAGAAAGATCCTCTGTGGAAGGCCGAGTAGAGGTGGGAGAGATCTTGATATTTTGGGATGATTGACCAGGTAAGAGGTGTTTCAGAATGGACAGGTGGCAGGTCTCAGTGGCTTGATTCTCTTCAGCTCACAGTTATTTAGTGTCTACTGCAAAGTGGGCATGATGATGAGCCACAGAGGCAGCCAGGTAGGGCCCTGCAGCAGGGGCCAGGGGCTGTTACTAAGGCTAGTTGGCCATGCTGCTGGCTACAGCAGGGAAGGTGACCCTCGGACAGGGTCAGTACACCCTCACAGAATCAGTGGGCAGGTTAATATAAAGGGACTTGAGCTGGATAGAATCTGAGCTCCTCTGCCTACCTCCTCTGCCACTTGCCCAGGACCCATGTGGAACCTGAGGCCAAGCTCCACATATAGTTCAGGGCTGAAGCTCCAGCTCAGAGGATATAGAGGATGAATCAAGGAGGTGGCTATTACAGGGACAGCAACATCTGAGCCTTTTCCCAAGTCTGCCTAGTTCATTTGTGCCACTATTGGCTCATGTCATGATAATAATCTCTTTTCTGTTGTTCTAGTTTTGATGGTCCTGCAGAGTTTTAGTTATAAGACTTTACATAGATGCCTGAGGTTTGTTGTTAGTGTAAAAACCAAAACCAGCCTCCTTTCACCTTAACTTCTGGCTGCTATTTCAGTTTGCATCCAAACCATTCAATATCAAATGACCATAATGGCCACACAGGTTAAGTGGAAAAAATTAGATTGCAACCAGGACCCACTAGCTTCAGGTCCAGCTGTCTGGCTCTTACCCACAAAACCTGGGTGTGTCTCTATGACCATGAAGGAGGTGCAGCCTGGGCCCTGCGCAGCCTTCTTCAACTTGGCCACGCAGTGACCTTCTTCTCTGTCTGTTGCTGGGTTGACTGTCATGCTTACCTTAAGCCTCCTCATGGGAGGCCACTGTTCTTAGCAGAACCAAAAGCCAGCAAAATTCCTGGGTCCAGAAGTGACCTAGATATCATCTGGTTTAAACCACTTGTTTAACAGATTAAAATAGCAAGGTAAAGCATGATAAAAATGTGAGTTATGGAAAGATTAGGGAAAAAACTGCGTGGTAGGTGTGAATTAGAAGCATCACAATGCACTCATCCTCAATATATAGCTGTGTCTGATCTCTGGGCAGAGAAGCAGTGACGCCTCGGTAGTGAGGGGCACACCTAGATCTTGGTTTCTAAATGTCAGTTTCCACTAAAGGGAATCAGGGTTTGGATTTAGAAAGTTCCAGAGAAGACTGGAATATCTCATTTTTTCAGGAAGTAAGAAAGTACCCTTAAACAAATAGGGAAATGTCAAAGGAACACTGGAGCCACCTGGATGAGACTCCCTCTTGACAAATTAGGGATTATTTGGGCATCAGAAGAAATAATAATAATGATACTTGGAATAAAAAAGATACCATGAGTGCATAGTGATACTTAAAGGGGAAGGGAGGACACTCTTCTGTACGAAAGAATAACATGTAATCAACGCAAAAAGAACAGTAGTTTTAGGAGCAGTGCCTGTGAGTAGGGCGCTTGGCCCCATATACCGAGGATGGCAGGTTCAAACCCTACCCGGCCAAACTGTAACAAAAAATAGCCGGGCATTGTGGCGGGTGCCTGTGGTCCCAGCTTCTCAGGAGGCTGAGGCAAGAGAATTGCCTAAGCCTAAGAGCTGGAGGTTGCTGTGAGTTGTGACACCAGAGCACTATACTGAGAGCGACAAAGTGAGACTCTGTCTCTAAAAAAAAAAAAAAAAAGAACAGTAGTTTTAGAGAAAAATCACTACTTTGCAATTGCCATTGTCATTGTCCCAATCGACTCAGGCCAAGATCAGCAATGGATGCTAAACCCATGGGTGAAATATGGAGGAAATCAGAATGATCGCATGTTCTCAGATAACTGCCCCACTGGTTGCCTATTAATTGCAAAGGATATAATGTGCCTTTACAAAGGAGAGATCTGACAGACACCACCTTAACCAAGGGACCTAACATGGCATTACCTACAGTAGGATGACCCAACATCAGGTACGCCCATGGTGGGGAAGCAGCAGGAAGGATTCAGCATTTCCTGTGAAATTGTTGCCAAAAATAGTTAACTTAAACTTCATTAACTCTAAACTTTAGGAAACAATTGAGTAAATTCAGATTTTGTAATATTCTTCATAGACTATTCAGTTAACATGCATGATTTGAAAATTTCAATGCCAGTGTATAAATGGGCATGACAACCTGTTTGTGGTTCTCAGTAAGATGCTGAATCAGGGTGCAAAATAGTTATAAAAAACATTTGTGGGGTGATTGGGAATATTTGAACATGGACTGTGGACTTATATCATCTTGATGTTATATTTCTTGACAATGATTGTGTGGTTGTCACTTGTGAAGATATTTTTATTCTTCAGAGATGCATGCTGAAGTATTTAGGGGTGAAGTGTCATGATGTATAAGTTATTTGCAAATGATTCAGCAAAAAATAAAAGTGTGTGTATTTATATGTGTAGGTAGAGAGAAAGGAGCAAAAGCAGGTATGACAACACGTTAATAGTTGATGACTGTAGGTGATGCGTGTATGAATACTCATGGTGTCCTAGTTCAACTTCACTGCAACTTTTAACATTATTCCAAGTAAAAATTAAAGAATAAAGCTAATAATAAGACAGGCCCAAGGAAATTGTCTGAAAATACTGTCTTAATAAAATGAGCTAAGGGTAAGATTCCACTTTCTTAGATCCAATACACCATTGCCTATCCATCCCTCTTCATCATGGCCTTAGAGGGACAGAGTGCCTCATCCCCTTGGCTCAAAAACCAGAGCTTCGAGAGGTTGTAGACCCCACTCTTGCCCTCCCTTATGCAAGCTCTCCACCCAGGATTTGCAGATCTCACCCTCGCCACCCCTTATGCAAGCCCTCCAGGCCCAGGCTTGCCGGTGAAGATGGAAACAAGGCACACAGCGCCATCTAGTGGCCAGATAGGGACACCTGTCAACCGCTGCCAATTTTGAAGGCAAACTTGGTCCCACATTATTGGTGTCTTTCTCATAGCCTTTGTGGGCTTGTTACATTTCTCATTTGGAGAGCATTAATTTTTGTTTATATTTCTGATCCTCTAATTTTTCTTTTTCTTTTCTTTTTTTTTTTTTAGAGACAGAGTCTCACTTTACTTTGTCACCCTCGGTAGAGTGCCATGGCATCACAGCTCATAGCAACATCCAGCTCTTGGGCTTAGGTGATTCTCTTGCCTCAGCCTCCCAAGTAGCTGGGACTACAGGTGCCCACCACAACACCCAGCTATTTTTTGCTGCAGTGTGGCCGGGGCCAGGTTCGAACCTGCCACCCTTGGTATATGGGGCCAACACCCTACTCACTGAGCCACAGGCACTGCCCAGTCCTCTAATTTTTCAATACGGATTTCCCGTGTTGGAAAAACCAAAAAGGAGCATATTTCTTGTCCCCAAGAAACCTAATTGAGCCCAGAATTATTTAAGAATCAAGAAGAAAGAGAAGAGTCCTGCTTGGATGTATTTAACCAGATCCTTTCTACTCCCCCAACACCAGCAAACTGCTGGTCTTTCTGACTCCTCTTTTGTGGAAATAAAGGAAGACAAACCAAATGAGAAAAGCAATGGCTTATTTTTTTTTGAGACAGAGTCTCACTAAGTCTCCCTCGGTAGAGTGCTATGGCATCACAGCTCACAGCAACCTCAAACTCTTGGGCTTAAACAATTCTCTTGCCTCAGCCTCCCAAGTAGCTGGGACTACAGGCACCCACCACAAGGCCCCTACTATTTTTTTTTGTTGCCGTTGTCATTGTTGCTTAGCTGGCCCAGGCTGTGTTTGAACCCGCCAGCCTTGGTGTATGTGGCTGGCGCCATAACTACTGTGCTATGGGGCGCTGAGCCTACGTCTTTTATGTTGGACTTTGGGAGCATGGGAGTTGGCCATCATCACTTGCATGTGAAGAGACCCAAGGACGGGCAGAGGAGTACAGGGGGGTACAAAGGGAAGACTTCAGGTATGCCCTGGTTGAGGCTATCAGGCCTCCTATGGGATTGCTTAGGGGTGCATAGGTGGCTTTCTCCTATCCAAAATTGGAAGCAAGGACAAAAAGGAATCTGTCAGTTACTACTCAAGTCTTGGACATTTTGAACTGACTATTACAGAAATTATTGTTTAGCTTCCTGGGTTGTTACTGGAGATGACAATCCAGCCTCTTGAAAGTCTGGCTTAGCATCAGGAAGCTTCAAGGGTTATTTATAATAGACGAGGGGATTGGTTCCCTGCAGGTTATAGGTCAAAGTTCTGTTTTTATATATTTTGTGTCCATTGTCCATTTGTATAGAAGCAGCCTATCTGCCAAGCACCCTGGGACAAGACAAGTGGCTTCAGGAGCAGCCTCTCTAATCATAGGGAAGAGGGCTCTGAAGGGAG